CCTCTTGTATCTCCCACACTCCTCAGGAGATGTAAGAAAATGTTTTTCTCCCTGAGCCTGGACTTCATAATTCCATTCCATCACAATAGATGATGTTACAGTAAAGGAACACGTTTCATCAGAAAAGACTGAAATTGATTTAAATGTGGATTAAAAATAATGGTATAAGAAGGAGATGAAAAAAGAGGAAGTATTGGATATACAAAAAAATGCAATACTGGGTATACAAATGAAATCGGCTGAAAAAGACATACAAATACTAACCCAAAACAGCAACATGAATAACCTTTTTATAGTGGATCTAGAAAAGGGACTTGTTAAAGTTGTTAATGATTTTGTGAGAAGAGACCAAGGGAACATGACAAGAAAGCAAACGTTAGGACATTATCTGAAGGGATTAAAAATATTGGGAGAAAGGGGAAACAATATAAAGTTGGTTTATTTGATCAAAGTGAAAATAGATGGGTTGTTATTTCTGGTCATTTTTCATGGATTTTTGCAGACTAGGACCAGATGACAATGTTTTAAAGGTTTTGTTTATCTCTAAGAGATGAGATGTGGGAAAGAGACTTCTTTTGTTGCATTTTAAGTTTATTTGCTTAAGACTGTTAAAATAATGTTATTTCTGGTAATTTTTATTCAATTTTTAATTACCAGGTTTGAATGATAAAGATAGAAAATGAAATATAAATATGAGAGGAAGGAATTTAAATGGGTTTATTGATTTAGTTTATAACAGATATCTTGTTGTTTCTGATAACCCTTAATGGACGTTAGCGGATGAGGACAGAATGATGAGGTTTTAAAGATTTTTCCACAGAGAATGGGGTGGGATTTGGGATGAAGAGTGTCTATGTATTTTAAGAGAAGGTGATAAGTTGTTAAAGTTATTCATACTTGCTGCAATGAAGGGGGAGGTTACCTTCTTTTTTCTTTTTTCCTCTTTTTTCCTCTTTTTTCCTTTTCTGTACTTTTTTAATTTTTTTATCCATTTTTTATCTTTTGTAGTTTGTATTACTGTAGTTTTATCTGTATAATATAATCTTTAATAACATTATTCAAAAAAATGAAAGCATCATGAAAGAAGACCCAAGTCCCAACCAAAAAAGAAGTACTGATAAATCTGAGTAACGCTGATATAACCAGCACCTTGAATTGCACCTGAAAGCCAACTGGCAACTTGTGTAACTTTTGCAATTGTAATATTACTCAGGAAAATCAAGAGGCACCTTAACTACTCAAGCCAATGCTCCATGTACCAGTTGCAGCTTCTGGGTGGTCTTCAAGAGCAATCCCATCTAGAACAAATTGCAGTAGTCCAATTGAGGTGACCAAGAATGAATGACTGTGAGCAGGCCTCCTGATATAGGAACGGTTATTACTATAGCATAAGATGCAGTTTTGCAAAGATCCTCCTAGCCACAGCTACTACTTCATACTTGAGCGGGATTTGTAAGTTCAGGAAGGCTCCCAAGTTACAAGCCAGTTAAGTTTGGAGCAGTGTAACCCAATTCAGAACTAAAGATAGAATACCACTGGTCTCAGTTGGCTTCCAAACCCACATCCACTCTGTCTTGATAGGATTGAGCCTGAGTCTTGCAAGATTGATGTCAGCCTTATGAGGTACTCCAGATAAGAAGCACAATGAGATGAACTAATCCTACTTTATTGTAAGGTTACATTAACAAAATCTTGCAAGAGTGAAAGTATTTCTCCCCTCTTCTTAGTCTCCGGAAAACTAGAAAGGGTCTCTTCCTATGGAAACACTTCCTATGCTTTTCCCTCACCTGCAGACTGAGCTGCCTCTTATCAGACCATTGCCTAGGCTGATATCATGACCACAAGACATCCTCAGAACTAACAGAGTCGCTCATCCTAGAAAATCTTACATGACCAGGCCTCCAACACCTACTGGACATGCTCAGCCAGCATCTAATTCTGAGTAAATTCAAGGACTTCATCCTCAGGATGCACTACAAACTCTTCATGGCTTTCTGCCAAGTATTACTCTAGTACATCCTTCCCCCAGAGGGTCTGGGTCACTCTAAAAAGAGATGCTGGGTGGAATCTAGAGGATGCAATAAGAGTGGAGAAATGTCATTTTACTCTTACTACCACAGTCCAGGCTTGAACCTGAGCTGTCATCCATATTCAGTCAAACTCATTCTTTGTCTTTGTCTTTTGCTGGTGTTACTCTAGCATCTCCTTTGCTACTTCATCTCCCAGAGCTCTTCGGTAAGCCAATAAGAGATTGTTCAGGCACAATCCTACCCAAGGTTACAACTCCCTCCAAATTCCAGAAGGTGATGAAAACTTCAGCAGAAGTATCTATAAAAGTTTTAGGAAAAACCCCAAGTGCCCCCTGGAAACCAGGTGGATCCATTAGGCATCCCTTCTCCATGAATGTATATAACATTGGCTCAAAGTGTTCAGGAAGAAAGCAGCCCTTTAAGGAAAAGCTGCAAATTAGAAATACAGCTGGATGGGATGGGTGAAAGCAATGATAACTCACTGGCCAAGGTTTAAGCATGGAAGCTTGCTACCAAGAGCTTCACTATTTGAAACCAAATTTTGCAAATATTCAGCCTGATTGTGATTATGCAATTTCCATCTTATGTAAGAAATAATTATGAACATATCTTGATTTAGAAAAATTACAATAAAAAAAGCAATGAAAATCTTGCAAAATGACACCACTCTTATTTTCCCAAATTTGGTTTAAGAAATATTCTGACCCACCATGAGCTTCTGGGACACACTGTTGTACATAGAGTAGCGGGAAGATGTGCCCTCCACAAGGGAATCTGCGCTGAATTTATTGCTGAAAGTGCCAAGAGCAGGCCGCCTCTCACTGCTCTCACTATCAGATTCACTGCTGCTTGTGGTGGAAGAATCTGAAAACCAAACAGAAGAAAGAAACAGAAGCTTTCAGTAATCACTGCCACAACAACATATGTTAGTCATGATTTAGGAACATAGGCTGCTACCTTTTACCAAATTGGGCCACTTACTTCAATACAGTCCCAGTATTGAGCAGCAGTTCTTGGAGATTTTAGATTTCCATTTCTACCTGAAACATCACATTCTGAAGCTGATACCAACTGCATTCATACGACATGCCCTAACATAGAGCTGTGGAATATGGAAAACTTTCAGGTGCCCACAAGTAATACTTAAAGTAGAGAAGCTTCAAATACAATTGTTAGTGCTAATAATTCAAGGACAAAATTAGGAGAATTTATCTGTTTATGATTATGATGACCAAAACATGAAGATCTTAGGATATATCTTTTGTCTGAGTTTCCAAACATATGAAGATTGAGAATAACCAAACAGGAATGATACTTTTGGGATAGAGAGAATGTGAGGGAAAAAAGTGACATTTAGTTGCAGTCTCTTCTTGAAACAGAATCACATAATAGCTAATTTCTGTAATGTAACTGCAGTTCATTACGACAAACCATTGCTAAAAACTAATTGACTACAAAATCACACCTAGTAACACATCTAGTAACATCGTGATTACATATGGATTTTATGCTGATAACATGTGTTTGATTGCTCTCATTTTATTCTTCTGCTAGAGGGAGTAGTTGAACAAGCCAAGCCAGTTTCATCTGTGGTTTAGCATTCTGTGCACATCTAACAAGCCATGATTAGTCATGACTTGACATATTAGGAGAGAAGGAATAAAATGAGAGCAACTAAGAGTTCTTGTTCACAGGGCTATCCTGATTTGTTTCACCTTTCTATTGGTAGCACAAGGTAAGCAGAAGCAAGTGAGCAACATAAACCAGTATTCTTACTGAGTTAGAATTTAGCTACTTGCACCATTCAAACACTCCCATTCCCTCCTGTTTCTCAGATTTTATTCCCAATTCAACTTAACATTCATATTTCTTATTACACTTGCTTAGTGGTTTCATGCAGATGTTTAAAAATAATGGATAGAAGAAACCCTTCAGGCATCTCAAAGCTAAGAGGCAACAGTGAATAGTATGGAAAGCTACTGATAGGTCCAAGAGAACTAAAAGGTTCACACTCTTCCTATCCATTTCCAAGCATCCCAACTTAAGGTGTTGATGTCTATTAGACTAAATGTTTTTAATAATTTAAATACTTCAAAATTTTGCCTCCTCAAAACCATCCAACCCACATACTAACAGCAGATGATGACTCCTTGCTCATAGTCTCAGTATTAAGATCAGTTAACAGTGTAATGGCCAGAAATAGGGCTGTCTTGGTGGCAACTCCTAAGTTATCGAACTCCCTCTTGGGGGAAATTCAACAGTTCCACAGGCTGTTTTCAGCAACAACTAAAAACGGACACATGTAGGGTAAAAGATTACCATTGTGACTGACCATTTTAAAATGAGCTTTGGTTTAGATATCTGTATTTTTAATGTCTTTGGGGCTTAGTTATTTTATTATTGTTTTTATTGTTCTCTTGTGCACAGCACTGGACTTCTTTAGGACAAAGAATGATATAATAATAACAGCAGCAGCAGCAGCAGCAACATCATCCACCAAAGTAGCTTCCATTCCCAAATCCATCTTGAAAGTCAACTGGTATGAAGCTAAATAATCTATGTTTTCCAGAGAGCTTGACATTTATAAGCTACTATTCATTCTGGAGCCTGGCTTAAAAATTGCAAATCAGATATCAGACTATAGTTTTTCAAAGCCATAGGATCTGTCACCATCTCCTTCAAAGCCATTAGGATAACACTAGCCCTCATTTAGATATTTATCATCATTGCGATCTATAGAGGGCCCTGTCTTATCTGATTGCTAAATTCAGACTGCACAAGGATCCAAAGAGCATGTAAGCTGGCCTCATCTTTCTACACATCTGTCAAATCCTCACGCTGCACAAGCTAACAACATACTATCTTACATTATTCTAGTTTGAAGTCTGACCCTCCCTCTCTCACTTATGCTGTTAACTATGGCTGGATGTTGAACTTTCTTTGACTGCTCACATCAAGTACACCAAGTTCAAGACCTCACTGAGCTAGGCTAAAACCATCAATATTCCACTACCATCTGCTTACTCCATAATCCTGATGCCTCATAATATTTTTATTACAGTGTTCTCAATAATAACAGTTCATCTAAGACATCATTTTATGAATAGTGGGGAAACTGCTATAAATTCAATGCAACAAAGTTAAAGATAAATGTTTGAGCATGGGAGTTTTAAAACTGTTATCATAATTGCATTTATATGTCAGTTTTCCATCATAGAAAGTTTCCCAAAGTGACTTACAATTAACCACATGCAGTAAAGGCATAAAAAGGGCATATTTTTGGTTTCATAAATTCATTAATTATAAAGATTAGTGATTCCAAAGACAATTTAGACAGATTGACCAGTTTCAAAAGTAATGTTTTTAGGAGGCTATCCTTAGCAATGCATGTGAAATAAATATTTAAGTTATTGTATTAGCAGATATATGAAACTCTGAAGCAAAAGCAGACTAAATCTTCGATACCTCCACTCATAGGCTGGCAATGGACATAACTGAATATTATTTTCAGGGGCAGAATAACTGGAAACAAACAGAGATTCTCATTCTTAACAATCTCTAGTTCTACAGAAGTGGATAAAAATATAGTTTAAGGAATGCTGCATGTCCAATGAACCAAAGGCATTTTTGAGAATTTGATGAAGTCTTTCTTAATCCTTCTATACTGGATAATGTCAAGACACTCTTTTAGCATTCATTCATTCATTCACTCACTCACTCATTCACTCATTCATTCATTCACTAGGCTTATATACCATTGACTAAGCAGCATATTGACCTCCCCAAACAGTACTAAGATGAAAACTAAATCATGATAGTATAAACGTATTATAATAAAACAACAAAAAAACAAAATAATTCCTGGGCAAGTTTCTCCAACAAGATAGTGATAAAACTCTGAAATTATTTGGTTGATACAGATTATGTATATTTATATAAATTCAGATTTCAGTCAAGTTACAAGACAAACGCTGAATTCTGTAGCATATGGTCTAAACAAGGAAGTAGATGGGGGAAGAAGCCTCCATTGGATTTATCAGGGTTTTTTAATACCATGGCATCCTTATGAAACACCCAGCTGCCAGTGAAGCAAAAAAGTGCATCTGGACTAAGCAAATTCAGGTGGCTAAAATCATATAACCCTAACATAACATCAACTCTGTAAGAACTGCAACCCTAAACAGCAATAATCCTACACCAGGTCCAACAAGAATATACTAGGTCCACTGCAAGAATTTATGCAATGACTGCTTCTACAAGTACCTTGAGTTGCATGGTTACCACTAAGTTGGGTTTCATCGTCTGATGTGGAACTGAGAGTCAGACCCAACTCTTCTATCCTTTTTTTCTGCCTTTTCTGTGGGCTGCTATATTCAGGTTCTGCTCTTCTCTTCATTTTTACTGTAAGAAAATAGAACATATTTTTCCAACAAATTCATATATGGCACATAATTCTAAGGCAACAGAATATCCCAGTTTCCAACCTTTTTGTAAATATTTTACATAAAGAATTGGGGTTCCTCTGTGCATTTTAAATACTAATCATTTAAAATAAGAAAAAAGAAATTAGGAAAGGAAAAATAAAGTTCTACCCACTGTCTGTTTTTAAAGAAAACATGTCTGAATAGGCTCCACAATTCAGATGTCACATTCCAAAGTATTTTTTCATAACATGTTTCATTTTAGCACATTAGTAATTTTTTTTTGAAGAACATCTCACTTCTTTCAGTAAAATGCTATTTCTGCTAAGTATATTAATAAGGTGAAAACATTAAAATATTAAGCATGTTTAGTCAGATACTATAACACCACATTCAGTAAAGCTTATTTCTAAATAATCATTATTTTCATTTTTTTTTTTACTAAATATTACTAAAACTTACATTGCTACAAAATATACTGAATCCAATTTGTACATGCTAACAGCCTCTAAAATACATTGTTTTTAATTGGAAAGTACAAATACTTCCTTTCCTTAAAAAATGACAAATTAAGTTATGGGAGCATGCATTAATGTCAAAACTAACTTCATATTAAAAACTAAATCTGATATAAAATTCAGGTAGGTCTGGAAACTATTTTTGGATTATAATCTAACAAGTGGGTTCATATCACCCACATTTGGTAAATTTCTCCTAACATAAGATTATAACATTGAGGATTTCTTTTTCCATTTTTTCCTGATTTGCTAAATTTGTTAAATTTTTCAAACCAGATAGAACTTATTGTAATTTTTGCCTTTGTGATTTATAAACTGAATCATACTGATTATAGCTGTCAATTACTGTACGGTAATCTAATACTGACTTATCTTCACATTGATTCCAACTTTCAAACTGATATACTTTAATATCAACGTCATTTTTTCTATTTTTCTTGTTTCTTTCTCTGATCAAATTTGTATATTTAATAATTAAAAATAAAATAAAAACAGTATAATATTTGAGACTAGAATCATAAATATTTTTATGTGAGCCCCATTAGTATAATGGAATTTACTGCTGAATCAAGATTTGTACAACTGAACATATGCATATACAAGGGTAGGAATGGGCCACGTATTTAAAACCAGAAAAATAAGAAGGATCATAAACATATGACCAGTTTAGCTGGTATTTATATATTAAAAACCTGTACAGAAACCTGTAGTTTCTAAAAAGGAAGTTGAAGCATAAAAAAAACCTTACAAATATTAAAAATGCTGATTCTATAAATACACAGACATCTCATTAATGCAAAGAGTTGTCCAAAGTCATTTTTGGCATGAGACGTACAGCTGCCTATTGCAGCTGAATACTTATGGTTAAGTAGAGAATTCTTACATGGTCTTTTGATAACGATGACATCTAGGAAAGTACAATATCTACTACATTATATACATTCCTTGATGAAAGTGAGGTGAAACAAAGTGCGAAACAAAGTGTATTTTCTTATTAATGAAAGTGAACTCCATCATATTCATCCACATAGAAATACAAGTACATAGAGTCTTAAAAGAAAAAAATAGGGAAATCAAAGTTTGCAATTAAAGATCACTTCCTATTACTGTGAGAATCAGATGAACAGCTGCCAATTACAGAATATAATCTGGTCAACTTGGAGAATGGTTCAAAGTTTGGCTCCTCTGTGATCCAGTTTGATACAGTCTCATTTCATTCAAAAGGCCTTATTCCAGTACAATGTAATGGAAAGAGATGAGCAACAGAACACTGAATTTTATTAACTTTGTAACATTTAAAAATTTGCTATAATAAATTGCTAGATTTTCCAAAATAATGGAATACAATCTCAAAACTTTATTCTGATTACGTTGACTGACCTCGATGCCATGTCTAACCTCCCAATAGGAACTGAAAAAAAAGTGTGATCTGGTTTCTTGTCAGTTGGACAGACACTTTTTTAAGGATAAGATACTCAGAATTATAAAGACAGAATTTTAATTCAAGTATCAGTTCGTGAGGGATGGAAATACTTAACAGAATTTTGCAGAAGAGAGAGAAGAAATGCCTTTACAGAAGACTCAGACGTAAAAAAACAATAGCACTTTATATAAGAGCTATAGAGAACCAATGGGAGAAAGGAAGCCCTTTCGGAAACTACTGGAGCAAAAGGTGGTTGAAAAAGTGTAAGTCAGTCAGACAAACGCAAAATGGGCAATCTTGAAGCAGGTGTGCCCAAAAACTAAGCGCCGCAGAGTCCGAAATAACCAATTTTCTTGGAAGTATGTTTATATTCCACGCTAACTTAACAGAGAGGTCACAAAAGCTGAGGTGGAGGTGAGAAGAAAGGCGAGGCAATGAAGGCAAATCAGAGGAGTAAGAGAGACGAGGAGGGGCAGATGGCTAACGACATGCGGGTGACTGCGATGGGAAAAGGTCATCAACATGCTTGGAGACATAACGGACATGGAAACACGCAGGAAAAAGCGAGCGAGCGAGCAGCGTGGGATCCTCTTGTAGGGCGCGAACGGCAAGAGCGAGCCGACAAGCGCCCTGGGAGAGCAAGAAGCGCGACAGGAGGAGGTGGCCGTGCACCGCGAGCCCCCGGCGCTTCCTTGGCTCGCTCGCTTTCCCTCCCGGGGCCCTTGCCTGCTACACTCACAAGGGGGAAGGGGCTCTGCCTCGGGCCGGAACAAAGAGGAGAAGGGAAGAGCCGTCCACAGGCGCGCCTGGGCTTGGCAGGGGGAACGGCAGCCCGACCCCCTCCAACTCCACTCCGCCACAATTCACTTTCGTTTCCCGGCAGCTCCTCTTTGGGGCGGGCTCTTCCTCTGGCCAGGCGCGCACTAATGACGTAAAGAAAGGACGAAAGAAAAGCGAGGGTGGCGCGGGTGCCGCGGGGAGTGGCGCCCCTAGTGGCGGGCGACTGGAGACCGAGCAACGAACAGCTCGAGCTTTAAAGTATTCTAGTTCCTGAAGGCAGCCGAGGTGCAGCCGTGCGAGCGGAGCTAGTCGCTTTATGGCGTAAGATGTAGGTGCACAGTCATTTCTGTAGCCTACGGATGCGGTAAGTCTTTCTCATCTGTTTTCCAACAGCTACGAATCCCCTCCCCGCTTTATGAAACTGTATGGGTTGAGTATTAATTTTCAACTTGGGAATTTACATGCAACTACAGGGGTGGGGATCACTGTGTGGGTGTTACGTTGTAACAGATAAATAATTCAAGTAATTTGAATAAAATGTTAACATTGGGTTTTTTAAAAAATCAATCAATCCTCACCTTAAAAAAAAAAAATTGTGTCCACTCCCATAACATTCAGAGGCAAGGTCTTCAGTTCAACTGAAACTGGGTACGCATCGTAAGAGATACTGTACTAACGGTGATCTGTTCTGACAGCATCTGAATTGGATTGCCTTAGTGTAGTATGTGGGCTATCCCTGAAGACAGTCTGAAAGCTACAGCTGATTCAGAACAAAAGCCAGGAGTATATATGCCTGATGGGATAATTCACTAGGAACATACCTTAACTATTTGAGGTCTTCATTGGTTCTCAGTCTGGTTCCAAGTTCAGTTCAAGGTGCTGTTTTTGCTCTTTAACGCCATTTACGGCTTCTCTCTTGAGGACACCCTGTTCTTCTATCAAGCTGCCTGCATCTAAAAATCTTTCACTGAAAGCCCTTTTTAAATTATTCCATCCATTAGAGTTGAGACATAGCAGCAAAGGAGAAGAGTTTTTTCCCAATCAGTAGCCTTCTGATAGGGAACCACCTTGCTCAAGACATCTACAGTAGTTCACTTTATTATCCTTTAGGTCAGCACCAAGGCCACCAGGGACTGCTTGTATCTATATTGCCAAAATTTAGCAACCATTTCTTAAGTTGCCAAAAATCAGTGAAATGGTTTCCTGTCATTTAGAAAAACATATGAAAATCAAACAGTGCACTCAGAAAAGTAACAAAGCAATATACAAATATTACACTCACTTTACCACCCCGTTTTGTTTTCATTTTAAAGGAAAATCCCTGTGATATAGACCTGCCTGGTTTACATGATCACCCTCTCCCTGCAGTCCTTGGCCCATCAAAAACACTAAGTGTAGCCCCCAACCTTGGAAATAGTTCTTACCCTACTTTGAAAACATGTTATTCTTTCAAGTATCTGGACATTCTAAACAGTTTTTTTAAATTTTTCCTTTGTTGCTTTCCTATTTTATTGATTTTGATCGCAGTGTACTTTTTGTGACTGTAAGCTATTTCTTCTGTTTTTAAATTGTACTCTAAACTGCTCTGGATTAAGATTTTCTGAAGCACAATAATACATATTTTTAAAGTAATATTAAAAAATGAGCCATGAGGCAACTGAAGTTCGCAGAGTAGAACATAGTTCATATAAGCAAAGTTATTAAGGAAACTCCAATCAAAAATACAAAGTATATTAAATTGGGATAGGGGTCAGGGAGAAAAGAAGAAAAAATAAGGAAAAAATAACATTCCTGTAATGCTGGGTTCATTCTAAAAAAGCTGGATTACCGCACCTAGTTCATTTAAATTACCTGGAAGTCAAATTATCTGGAAGATCTCAGGAAAGCTAAGCTGAGTTTATCCTGGTTGATAACTGAATGGGAAACCACCAGGAAATACAAGGATTGTAGGCTAGCCTGAAAAGTCACGGAAGGCAATTCAAACCATTTCTGCATTGTTGCCAAGTAAACAATATGTATGTGTCTGTGAAGTCACCAGGAATCAATCTGAGCTCAAAGGACTTACTAAAAACCTTTAGGAAGAGTACCTGAATTAAATAATTTTTTTCCTCTGGATGGTAACATTTATTCATAACTTGCTGGGTAAATCCAAAATTTAACTACATCCCCATCTTTCAGCCCATCCTCTTGAGTCATGTTGTGTTCCAAGTGTTTAAATATACTTCATTTGTGATTTATTGTCATTTTAAAATATGAACATTTGGGAGAATGTTCACATACGTCTTTTACAGCCAAAGGGTTCAATATACGATTGAAGGTGTCATATGGGTTTTTATCCGTCAGTTTCCTGTGGTATTTCCATTATTATTTATTATTGTATTTGTACTTCTTTTCCAGATGTAAACCTGTAGTTTTAAGTAACTCTGCTCCCATGAAATAGTCTTAATAAAATGACTGTCTTCTAATGTGAGATCACTTAACAATATATATACTTCCCCAAGTAGATGTTTGCCCCCTCTTTTGGCTCATAGGATTGCTTCAACCACCACTGTTTTTTATCAAAAATACTGTACTCTAAGCCAAAACAAACTGGTACTCATGACATGCATCCCTATTTCATACAGTTCAAACTGTGAAGGGGACATCTTCAGCTGGCACTTAACAGTGTGTATTTTTTCCTATGCATAAATTGTATCTACTGGAAGAGTAACGAAGCATAGAAAAACAATCACATTTACAGTTGTGTAATAGCTGAAAAATGTAGAATTAGTACTTTCAAAATATGTAAAGTGGGCTTGTCAAACATCAAAGGAATGACTCAAGTCAAAGGAGACTCAATCAAATCATTCTTTCAAATTGACTCTCCAAAAAGAATAATGGGATTAAATTGAATCAGGTGCATGCAAAGTGCTTTGAGAAGATTAAATTATGTTTTTAGATTTCCTGACTTTGCAGCATACATCATAAATAGACAAGACTAAGAGATGTGGGGAATTGAATGGTATAGTGGGTTCTCCAATGTTAAGATAAACATTAACAAACTCTGCATTTCAGAGATCTTGAGGGAGAGGTGCTCTGTTCTTTCTGCCTCATTCTTTTGGCAGAATTGTTTATACAAGTTTATTGTGGAAGGGAAGAAGAGGAAGACCAAGATAATTTGGTCATTTTTAAATCTTCTTTGCTGTTTCATGGGAGGAATTCCACCTTTTCCTCAATCCACATCCTTTCATCCTTTTCTTTCCCTTAAAAGTCTAATCTCTGCATTTATCTGCAATTCTTCAGCTTTCAATCCCATTTTTTATTTTCTCCCAGTTTTAGAAACACAATGATTCTATTTTCTGTTACTTGACTGTCTCTGTTATGAAGAATATTGTGTGAGACTTCTTTATTGCATGAGTAGGTCTGAGACAACATCTTTTGTTTTTTTTTTCAGCCATTCCTTGGTGGATTTATTGGAATGTTTCGGGTCATTGTCATGCTGCAAGGTCCACTTTCGGTTGAGCTTTAAGCTTCTAACAGATGGTCTCATATTGTCCTTAAGCAACCTCTGGTACAATTTGAAGCTTCCCCTATCCAGTCTATGGTCAAATATTTTGTTGAATCTTGAATCAGTTTAAATCAAATCTTGCTGCCTTCAAACATAATCTTCAAATCACCTTCAAATCAAATTGCCTTTATAAACACAGTGAACATAACAGTGAACATTGTCTCATTTAACATCTTTTGATATCAGTATTCCAGCTGATTCCAAAGACAGATTTCATTATTAGAATCAATTGGAGAAATATTTCCTATTCAAGAACCCACCCTTTATTAATCTTTGTTGATCTGCAAACACTTCGGAAATTTTTAAGGTTAAAAAACTATTGTTTCATTGTATCATTTATGCCAAAGTTTAACACAGGACATAATACTACATTTCAATATTAAATGTGTTTTGTGCCCTTGGATCTTATTTATGTTGCAAGTACAGTCATGTGAAAAAGTAAATAGACCATGTAAACTTTTTTTCTTACAAAAGAAACAAAAAAACATACAGTGGTGCTTAAAATTTTGTGAAGCCTTATGAATATTCAATATTTCTGCATAAATATGACCTAAAATGTCATCTGTTCTCCATACATCCTAAAACTAGATAAAGAGAACCCAATTAAACAAATGAATCAAAAAGATTATACTTGTTCATTTATTTATTGAGGAAAATGATCCAAAGCTACATATTCACTATCAAAGTCTGATCTTCACAACACAGGTATGTGAAAGTATGTTACGACTAAACAAAGATTTCTGAGGACCTCCAAAAAACAGTTGTTTGTTTGTTAAATTTGTATGCCACTCATCTCTCCTAGTTGTTGACGCTCACCAAGCTGGAAAGGGCTACAAAACTATTTCCAAAGAGTTTGGACTCCAGCAGTCCACTGTCTACTGTCAGGCAGATCATGTACAAATTGAGGCAATTCAGTACCATTGTTACCCTCCCCAGGAGTGATTGACTAACCAAGATTACACCAAGAGCAAGACATGTAATATTCTAAGACATTTCAAAGAACCCTAGGGTAACGTCTAAGAAACTAAAGGCCACTCTTGCATTGGTAAATGTCAGTATTCATGAGACTACCATTAGGAGAACATTGAACAACAGTGGCACACATGCAGGGTTGCAAGGAGAAAGCCACAGTTCTCCAAAAAGAACATTGCTGCCCATCTATAGTTTGCTGAAGACCACAAGGATAAGCCAGAAGGCTATTGGAAGAATGTTCTGTGAATGGATGAGACCAAAATTGAACTTTTGGGCTTGAATGAAAAGCATTACATTTGCCAAACCCAGCAATAAGAACTTTATCCCATCTGTGAAAGGTGGTGGAAGTATCATCATCTGGGCCTGTTTTGCTGCCTCTGGACCAGGCTTGCCATCATTGATTGAACTATGAATTTTGAATTGTGCCAGCAAATTTTACAGGAAAAAAGTCAGGGTATCTGTCCATGAACTGAAGCTCAGGAGAAAGTGGGTCTTGCAGCAATACAATGACCCAAAACACACAAGTCATAGGACCAAAGGATGATTAAAGCAGAAGAAAGTTAATCTTTGGAATGGCCAATCAAATGTTGTGGAAAGACCTGAAGTAGGCTGTACATGCAAAGAAACCCACCAACATCCCTGAGTTGAAGCTGTTCTTTAAAGAGGAATGGGCTAAAATTCCTTCAAGCCAATGTGCCAGACTGAGCAATAGTTATCAGAAACGTTTAGCTGCAGTTATTGCTGCCCGAGGGGGGCATAACCAGTTACTGAGAGCAAAGGTTCATATATTTTTGCCATGTACAAATATGTAGCTTTATATCATTTTCCTCAATAAATAAATGAACAAGTATAATGTTTTTTATTCATTTAATTGGGTTCTCTTTATCTAGTTTTAGGACTTGTGTGGAGAACAGATCATGTTTTAGGTCATATCTATGCAGAAATATTTAAAATTCAAAAGGATTCACAAAGTTTTAAGTACTACTGTGTGTTGTCATATCAATATTTTATCTTCATTCAAACCATACATAAAGGCGACATACTTGAACAAAAAAACCTATGAAAATTAGACTTTGCAATCATTTATTCCACAAAAAAAAATAACAGGTATGACATTTCCTTCTGTGGAAAAAGTAAGTACACCCTTGGCTCTAATACCTGGTATTGCCCCCTTTGGCTGAAACAACCTCAAACAGGCATTTCTTACAACTGCCTAGCAGTCTCTGACATCAACTGGGAGGAATATTTTTCCACTCCATGCAGAATTTTTTTAGCAGTGCAATGTTTGAAGGGTTTCTTGCATGCACAGCCATTCCAAATCACTCCACAGCACCTCAATGGGATTTAGATCCAGCCTTTGAGTTGGCCATTCCAGAACTCTCCATTTCTTTTTTTTCAGCCGTTCTTTGGTGGATTTATTGGAATGATTAGGTCATTGTCATGCTGCTAGGTCCACTTTCAGTTGAGCTTTAAGCTTCTAACAGGTGGTCTCATGTCGTCCTTAAGCAACCTCTGGTACAATGAAGAATTCATAGTGGATTCTATGATGGTGAGCTGCCCAGGCCCTGATGTAGCAAATCAGCCCCAAACCTTAATATTTCCTCCATCATGCTTTACAGATGGTATCAGGTTCTTCTGGTAAAATACTGTATTTGGTCTTTGCCAAACATGTCTTCTGGTACTATGGCCAAATAACTCTATCTTTGCCTCTTGTCCAGAGCACATTGTTCCAGAAGTCCTGGTTTTTGCCTAGGTGTTCACAAGCAAAGTTTAGTTATGCCCTGGTGTTCTTTCTGGACAGCAAACATTTCTTCCTGGCACAGTTCCCATGTAGATCTAATTTGTGCAGCTTCTTTCTAATGGTAGACTCATGCACTTTGACATCAGTATGGCAAGAGCTATTTATAGGTCATGTGGTAAAATTGTGGGGTTCTTAGAGGCTTCTTTCAGCAACTTGTGTTCTGCTCTTGGGCTGAACTTCCTGGGACAGCCTGGCCTGGACAAGTTGGCAGTTGTTTGAAGCCTTCTCCACTTGTAGATGATCTGTAGAGTGGAATGATTGATGTCCAATTGTTTGGCAAACTTTCTAAATCCCTTCTCAAATTGATAGGCATCTATTACCTTCTTTTTGAAGGCCTCAGAGAAGTCTTTTGATCTAGGCATGTGTGTGATGGACTGGAATGGAGGAAGGGGGGTGAAAACGGTGCTCTCGTCTCCAGAGCAACGCTCTGGAGATAAGTGAAGAAAGCTGGCACATCCCTAAACATTCCAGAAGATAGTAGAGACTTGTGCCTGGG